GTAGATTGAATGGCAAATTCTAAACGTGCTATTTGAAATAAAATGTCGTGTTAAAAACACAAATTTAACTTAAGAATTCAGAATGTAATATCAAATCCAAAACTTCAATAGAGATATTTTAATGTTTCTGAGGGGTTTTATTGATCAATTTCAAATTAAAACTTAATCAAAAGATATAATATACTTCTCAATAATTGACTTGAAAATGAGTGAAAGATCAATATAAGAAAATCATGTCTCTGGCAATTATGTTTGCAATTCTAGGAATATTCTTAGAAAGCAAATGCTCAATGGGCATTCCTCGAAAGTAAGTACATCCCTACGAACTTAGCGGGACAACATTTAAACGCTTTGAACTATCGTGCATAACGAATGTACGAGGAGCCTAAACATTAACTTAATTTACTCAACCTCGCGTTTTATCACTGTCATTGAATCCATCAAAGGTATCTGAGATAGGTCTCATTGAATCCCTACCAGATATGCAGGTGACAATTGTTAAAAGAAATTATCATGCATTTTTGCTACAAGTTGGAATTCCTACTGTGTAAACCAATAGATTTACAAATTATTTGTAATCCAGTTTAGATGATCATTAGCCATACTCCTTAAGCCCGATTTAAATGCTTCACTTTCAAGTGTACCTTTTTAGGTAGTTTGGCTCTAGAACTATAATCATTTGCATATCCAATTTTCTAAATTCGTTAGGGTTTTATAATCACCCGGCTGTCTCCTCTAAATATAAAAATGTTGGTCAATGAGACAAAGCATGCATGGAATTATGAAAAGGTTTCTAAAGATAGTTAGTGTACACGAGTGTTACCAGCAGATCTCCATCTGTAAGCCGTACCGTAGTTCTAAGAAAAATCGTACACGCCTAAAGATGTCCACTCTACAACATGTCTACGGCATTCATTCACGTATCTTACGTCAAATTCCGATCTACAAATTTCTAGAACCGTAGAGCAGATAAGGACATTCTCTCAGGTGTCAGAACCAAGCCTGTTTTACGTTACGTATGTGGTGGTATACGAATTAAATATACAATCTGCAATCTGCTAGTCGTGTCGTCGAAATCAGTCAGCACCAAAACTTGAAGGTGTGGAACAATCTGCTGTGTGCAGAAATGACCACACAGGCAAAGACAATGACATAAGGCTGACATGTTGACTGGAACTGAGTCGGCCTCAAGCTGCTCGGGGCTTATGTGTGGTGGAAATGTGTCGCGTTTCAGATTTGAGAAGCAATTTCCGTGCTAGCCATTCCTTGGAGGTTCCACGACCCAGAACTAATCGTTGTCGGTGGTGTAAAATTCTATAATCATGCCACCGTGATCTTGGGCAGCGATGTAAAAGTGCAGTTGTCCGATGCAAAGGAAAGGAAATACCATTTTTGGGACGACAATTACTCCCTGAGGGTGGATCGAGACTTATTAGTGGCGAGTACATTATATGGCAGTGGTGATTCATCAGTACATTTGTCTACCTTAGAGTTGTGATTGTGGATTAAACTCAGATCATATATCCGTGAACTGGTGAACTGGTTGAATACTCAGGGTGAACTGGTTGCAGAAATGGGAGCTATCTGGACCTGCTGTGTTGAAACATTCTTGAGGTCCATTGAATTCAGTCGTTTGACGAGTCTGTTGACCCACATCGGCTGCAATTGAGATCAAGCTCCTGCTACCGGTGCCGGAGGGAGTCGGTGACACGAAATACGTCTAAAAGTCTCGCTGAAGTCAATACGATGTCATGCTTTACTACTACCATCTCCCCAAGACTGAATCCACCCCATGACATTGAATGTGAGATACTTATTCGCAAACCTCGCCGAAACAACTGGCGGATGAAACATAAGAGCATAAAATTCTGATGAATATCCTTGTTCACTCAAAGAACACGATATGGACATAATTTTGGTTATTTCTACTGTTGTGAGCAATAATTTAGGAGACATGAACATCAAATTCAGAATCAGAATTAATTTTATAAACTGCCAAGAATTTTTTTTCCACATAAATCCAAACCTTGGCAGTTTTGGATCTAGTAAAGCACTGTACCTAACTGCAGAGAACATATTGATGTGTATAAAGAAGAGACCAATTCATGTGACTCAAGACGTGGTAAACTGGAGAATCAGTGGAGATGTCGCAGTCGTCTTCAGTGATGAAATGCAAAGTACTTTCCACCTTCCAGTATCAGCTAAAGTTCCCATCTCATCAGATTCCAAAGGAAAGAGCGGAGGAGTCTCTCAGCAGAACTAGGGTTGAATCCAGGTCGAGAACGAGTCAAACCCTCAGGACGACCATGACAACTCTGAACAGAAACCTTTGACGGAATACTTCTTTCTTGAGTGAAGTAGTGTCCTTCTGCAGTAGGCTGCGTTGACAAACATTGACAACCGAAGAAAAGAAGAAGAAAAGGCGTGATCTTACTATTTCATGCTTGTGCTCTCGATTTGTGACTGCTCTTGATCCAGGAGAATAGCATAGCGTTTAATTTTGTTGCATTGACTCATAAATGTTCCCTATACTCATTTTGAATGGAGTGCCTCACCATAGTACGGTGTATGTGAATCAGAATTGATGCATTATGTCAGACGGGTAAAATGACACCACATTAAATGGGAACTCGATGTTGGCGGGTTAAAATCTACTATATGCTGGAGGACGTGCTACCCTATTGAGATCTAGTTACGATCCAGAGACATCAGCGAGAAGAGCAGACACTCTGGAAGGTCAACAACTCTCCGCGATCTTCAACAGCTCTCACAATTTCAAATGTTGAAACTTTAACCACGTCCTTTTCTTTCGTGACATTCAGAGTACCGAGTTATCATGTAACAGAAGTGCAACATTTCTTCCGTCATCTGCAAGAATCTCGAGTAAGTTACATGGTGTAGTTGCGAAAAGTTCGAATAGCTGTGTAATAACAATTTAATACGGTCGGGGTGGGGACCGGTTGGGGTGGTGTGGGGTGGGGAATTGCCTACTCAAATGCGGCCATGTGTCCAACTTGAAATACAAGGAGCCATTAGTACTTCTTACCTTTCGTTCCAGTCCTCAGGCTACTCTGAGAAAGTCCGTCGGAATAAATAAGAGGGCAACTTCAGCCCATAAGCTCTATGTGAGAGGATAGTGAGTTCAATTTGGGTTCAAAGGCCATTCTTAAATCCAACCTGATAATATTCGATGACGGAGCCTAGCGAGTTATTTCAACAAATAACTTGCTAACCCGAGGGTAGAGTATGTCTTACTTTCCGCGTCACCTTTAATTTTAAAATTTTCGGTGTCCCAAACGATGGCCTAGCGTTGAAATCTGTTGTCAAAGAGTAACACTGTTACTACCTTGATGATCAAGTATTGCATAACAAGATTGGTTTCCCTCTAGAATTTGATATAAAGTCAACCACAGTCTAACCTTATGGACTACATAGTTAAATTTCATATTTGGGAAACCAGTTGGGAAACGCAAGATGGTACGTATGTGAAGACCAATAAAAGAAATACTCTTACTGCCGATCTGAGACGACTGGTGATATCAAAAGTAACCTCATAATCTAGAGCATTTGAATGACGATCGACGGAAGCGAGTCTATTATAACTATTATTCTTATGGGAGGTCGCATGATGCAGGAACAACAGAAGGTAAGGCTTGGAGGTTGCAAAGCGAGGTACTGCCTTGTACTTTACTCTGAATCTGTTTGAACCAGCACGAAAGGAACTGGCAAAAGTTTACCAGTACCAAAAGGTTTTCTTAGCTTAATGGAGGCCTGTAAGAGTTTCCCAATAGCTTGTGATGGGATATTAAGAACATTTTGTTTCGCAACACCCTTCCCAAAACGAACTAGAAAGGTGTGCGTAGGAGAATGTCAACGGGATATCTTTCAGGAATCGAGGGGAGGTGAGCTACCTAGCAACAGCCGACATATCTGCTCCAGACTGGTTCAATCCAGATGATTGTCGAGCCAAATCTGAAATGGACCCTGCTTGGAGCTCGGAACAGCATAAAAAAGCGAAACATCTCACGAACATCGAGTTAGCGAGTAGAGTTTAATGCTGCAGAAAAGAAAGTCCTTTGTTTGTGTCGACTCAAACAAAGGACTTTCTTTTCTGCAGCATTAAATGGCAAGAATTTAACGAGCAATACATCATCTGGGTTTGACCAATTCAGTGGACACAAAATCATAACTCCTGGCCTCATGTCCACGAATCGCGCTCGCGCTGGGGTATAATTGGTACTACGGGGATGAAGTTCTCGCCAATTGACAATATGGCCATGGATACCCTGCACACGAAATTTATTGGAAACACGAATCAGCGGGTAGAGTTTCTGGTATCAGGGCTCGTCCACTAACTTAGGCCACACATCAAGTGACATGTCGTATTATGTTCGGATTTCATAAAGAGATGCACGCTGGCAGTGTGCTGTACTGTGCGCCGGATTCGGATCGCAGCCGGCAGCAATCCCTGAGGTTTTCCCCCATGATCTGAGGGGGGTTCGTCGTTTTCTTCCGCAAGTCTTCGTCGCCAGAGTTGTCTGTCGTCCACGGGAGCGTGCTCAGCACTTTCGTTTCCTTGAGTTCAACGAGAATGTAGTTTCTCTAACCTGATGCGTACTTTCATGTTTGCCCGAGCACAATCGTTTGACACGGACAGGCTAAGCGAGACGGTGATTTTCGAGGACAAATTCCCTCTCGAGCATCAGCGAGCGACTCGTGTGAGCAGTCCGGCGATCTTTTCAACTTGAGTTTGTCTTAGTGACGAAACCATTCAACGTTTAGACCATGGGACTACTGTGACGGCATGAAGGTTGACAATTGGTAGTATTGTGACCGCACGAGGAGACAATAGACGCGACTGACACGCTGAGGAATGATGGAAGTCCAATGATCATCCGTGACATGCCTCGGTCATAACATCCCCGGGAGCGTACGAGGTCCTCTCAGACGTCTGACACACTCGGAATCTCACGTGCTTAAAGCCTTAATGAAATTCACTGCGTGTCTAAATCTTCGAGTCCATGAAAATCATCCACAGGCGAGAGATGAGATGACGAGTTCAATCGACCAGTCAGCAGCATGAGGAAAATTTCGTCACGATCGCAAGACTTTCTCTTGCAAGCGCAGCGGAGTATTTTGGCTGCACTTCCAGCCTGGTCTCGTTGTATTATGACACGCGGAAAGTCGCCAAGCACTTACCTCGCAGCACACTGGGCGCTTCGCCCGACACCCAGCTACGTACACAGCAAGCCCATGCGATGACCGCCGCGTACCATCTAATCGTATTTTAAGAGGACCTCTTCCAAGGGGCCAGCTCCAGGTGTGGCGCGCGCACGCACGCAGTAGCAGCAGCATCAAGAGAGGGCATCAACTTCTCCAAGCTAAGTCACTGCTCGAATTCTTCGTGAATTATGCCACTGGACTCGCCGGCTCGGTCTGAAATTACGATCAGTGTAGGGCTCTGTTTGCCGATAATGGCCATGGAGAGCGAGTGGATCCTGCCGGGCGATTCGCTCAGCCAGCGCGACGAACACATCATCGCCAACGCAGTGCGCTTGCTGGTCGACCGAGGCTGCACTAGTTTTAATCTCGCTGGCTCGATGGGGGATTGCCAGATACGAATTGCATTTGGACTGTGAGGAAGAAGTGCAATAACAGCGATCAGAATTATTGAACCGGTAGAGGTCTTGTTCATGAATACCCGGCGGAAATTTCTTAACAGTAATTGTGCGTTTTGTCGAGGTCGGGATGACACTCCTCCCTCTGCGTTCGACGCTGAGAGCCAAATTTCTTACATGTACGCAGAAGTCAACGCCAGAAATGTGGTTCACAGTCATCGTTGAATATGCATTAGACCTGATTTACATTGTGTTCGGAGTTCGAGACCTACGTCTTTGTCTACTGACAACCACCTAACTAGACTTTGGTTACGGTGATTGGATTTAGTCTAGAAGTTTGCAGCATTACTAGTCGCAAGTAGTATTATTTTGAATACTCCATCGTGATCGAAGAGTAAAGTAATTTTTTATTGAATAATTATATGAAATTATTAAAAAATAAATATATAAAATAATGAAAGAAACAAAATATCGGGAATGCTTGGTTATATCTCATTTAGGTTAATTGACTTTCACTTTGGTATACATAGTTCTTTAATTATCAATGCTATATACAAAATGTTCGACCAATCACATAAGACTGTACACCAGGGTCAGACTATTAAATCATAAATGAGTGATAACTAATTGTTAATAATCTATCTTTAGAAATATTTTTTATATCAAAATGGATTAATATATCTCTTGCATAATTAGAGGTTCCAAATTTACAGGGTTCAGTTATCAGTTTATAAGCAAAACATTTGTATCTATATCTATAATAAATTTATGGTATAATTGGTATATATATATATTTATTTATAAAAAAACTATTCAAAACGAATAATACAACAAAAGATAGATATACTCTCCTGATACATAACATTTGAAATCTTTTTGGAATGCACAAGTAAACAACTTCTCATATGAGTTGTTTAGACTCGTAATGGAAACCAAAGTGCATAGAAGTTACCATTTAACACCGACCTAAACAAAGCTTGAGGGTGTTGGGGATTTCGCATATAAAGCCAAATCACAAAGTTTGATGCGTAATTTCAACAAAAGGTTGGGACTTGCAGGAATTCAGCCAGTGGCAGGTAATAATTCGCGCGCAACCAGGAATCCAAATCAGTAATGAGTCGCAGATTCATTGAGCTCCTTGTAGCCAGACGAACGCAGTGCATGTCATCGGAGCCTGTGCACCTCGTTGTGTTCTTTCGCCGTAGGCAAGCGACGAGGCAAATGCTTAGCCTGACATCAGAGTTTGTGCCCGGCCGACTTACGAGAACTCTTCTGCAGTGAGTCAAACGAGGCGCCGGTAGCAGTGCACTGCACTCCATTCCAAACTTTTCGACCATCGTACCTCGATCGAGGTTTTTGGTGTAAAGCTAAAAATGCAGTTGACATGCTCGGAGCCCTGTTGACTTGTGCACTCCGTTATGCTGATATTATTCCCGTGCATTACGTGTCCAGCCGGAAATTTGACACATGTGGACAGATGGGGGCAATTTCGTGGAAGCCAACAATATTCGTACCCTTCCCGCCCAGAGTTTTGTAGATTGGGCGCGGTCTAAAGTAGAAGCAGCGTCTGAGCACACTCACAACGTCACGTTCTCATCGCAGAAGGAAGTGTTGACCCCATAGCGAATTGAGAGTGCGAGCTGCCAGTGGAAAGGGCCACTGAGAGAGCGTTTGTAGACGCGGGAATCGAACTTCGTTAGGTGAAGTCAAAGCAGCCCATTTATTATCGGGTTCCTCACACAGCGACTAGAGCCCTGAAACCGAACGAGATTGTGATGTGTTCAGACCCAGAGTGACAGATGATATAACACTCATGGAATTCAGGTGGATCCGTGATGAAATCATCCGTACCGTTCGAGTCCATAGCTCCTGACATGCGGGCGCTGACGAGGTCCAGTGCTCGACGAACGGCTCAGTAGTTGTGCCCATCAGCAGCAGCTTTCCACGTGTACAGTTGACTATTACCGATCGGGTTGGTGCTCTGAGTACCTGATCGTAAACGGTACACATGGAGGTAACACTTATCGATCCGTGGTTGCGCTACATATGCTGGAAAGGAAGAGACATCGTCCAAAGGAAAGCTGATGAACATCGAACGGGGGCCAAGTAAGAACAACTGATGCGCCGTGGATACTAACAAACAGCAGGTTGAACCCCCGTAATCTGTAGATCGCTCAGTACAGAGGTTGAAGCCGGCTGAATCGGCCGGCATGTCAGGAGAGAGTTGAAGAGTACGAAGTCAGCGCTCAGGATGTGTTTTATATTGCTTCTATAAGTATTTAGATTGGTGAAATAATATTACTGACGAGGAATGCCATTTGTAATGTCCATCAACAGCAACAACCACCAGGTCTGATGAAAGTAGAGAAGTCGTTGCATGGCAAATTGAACGATTCACTGGCAGGAGTAGGTTTCCCGTCAACATCCACGTAGTTGATGCTGTCAGTGGCCAATAGCTTTGAAGGCTTAGCAAGCTCAAGTAGATGCCACAGCGATTATATAGGTTTCGGTGGAGTTGACTTCTTCTTGTTCTCGTGCTACTGGGCGTGGACAGGAGAATGTTTCTGTATGTTTTGACATTGGAGATCAGATTCGTGAATCGAAGTACTGGTGGCACAAACACTCCTGAGACCAGACGACGGGAACTTGTCATCGCCGCAACGGAATGGCTGCGAGCTAGAAATCGAGTTCCATCTCTGACCTGCACTGTGAGCCGACGCGTTAAATGTTTGCTGTCCTTGACCCAAAGAACCGAGGACTACTTATCCCCTGAAGACGCCAAATCCAGTTAAACTTTACTTTAATAAACACAGTCACCCAAAACCACCCAACAGATGACGCTGCAGCTCTTGTGTCTTATATGATCCATTGTAGGCTTCACCTGTGGTCAATACTCGAGAGTTACAACATTATTAACCACTTTTCCCTCTGAAAAGCTGTCACACCACAAAGATACGCATACTCGAATAAGCACAAATTATCCCTTCCTCAAAGACATCTTCCCATAACACCTTCCCTAAAATTAGGATTGCATTCAAAGGCTTATACTTCTCCACCCGCCACTCCACTTGATCGATGGATTGGTCTAATGCATCTCTTGAATATGTTCCGACTTGCTGGCGAGTCATGGTTTCATGCTTCTCTCCCCGTGTCAAATCTCTACGTCCGTATCCATCTAATATTTATGTCTTATCATATATTCCTCTCTATAGCTGTGTATGTGGCTCTCTATGTGAGACCCGAGAATCTGGCTTTTTGTGCATGGGCAAAGCTTTTATAAAATGGGAAATGGAAAAGGTTGTTGGTCCATACTGTGACAAATCAAGTGGCCAAAAAAATTGGTGGGCTTCATAGTGACAAGTAGAGATGCACACTGTTCCCGTTGCTCCTGCCAGTTGTCTTGAAGGTGGTAGTGCGTGATCTTTCTGAGTTGTTTACCGTCGGTCAGCCAAAACTCAATAATAGAGTGATGGGACGTGCTGTCTTCGTCATGAAACCAAAGCAAGACCACACTTGAATGGAAGTTGGGACGTGAAGAGATGCCTTAGAAAATAAGGAAGATATGTAGGGCAACGTAAGTCGTGAAATCCGTTGGTTGTGACAAGCCATGAAGTTTTGAACACTGGAGTAATTTTGCAGTGTGCGTTGGGTTGAGGCGAGCGAAATTCTGGTTATTCTTTCCAACGTTGACTATAGTTTTCTAGGTCTTCCATTTGTCGAGTCCGGACAAATGAATTGACAATTTTCTGTCGTCTTGTGAGTTGACAATTTTCAGTTGCTCACAGCTAGCCTCAAATCTATATTCCCTCAAATCAAACCTCTGTAAGGCTGGTAAATAGGTAGTAAGATGTGCTGAGACGACACTGGAGGTTAAATATGAATGAAAATCTCACGTGAGCGAATTACTGAAGAAGAACCATAGGATTTGTCAATCCCTCGCAAGCAGGACCGACATCGCCGATCTTCAACATGCGGCGTGGAAGACTGGCAGCTGGCATGTTTTCCCATATTCTGAAATTGAGAGAGTATGAGATTCCTTCCCATCTGACCGACACTTCTGCCCTCTATCTATTTAACAGATCTACCTATCGACTGGTTATTGCTACATATAAAAGAGGAGGGGGTCAAGCTTCAAGTTCGTTCCCTTCACATTCAACCAAGTACTGTGACCCATTTCTTCTTGCAATCGGATGGAGAAGTAGAAGGCAATTAAGCTCAGCTACAGTACAGTTCTATATCCAATAGTTATTATTTAACTGTGTCTGATGACTTGACTTGTGCAACGTCTGGAGATGATATATGAAGGTGCCTTGTAGCTGGAAATGAATCTCCATGCGACAGATAGAGAAGGGTGCCACTCGGATGCAGCTGCATATATACTCCTTTCTCACTGTGCAGCGCCCGCCTACATCCTCCAGCATCGACTCTTCCCCCCTCGAAGTTCTCAAATAGCTGTAACCCTTCCTTTATTAAGCACATCGAAGGCAACACTTCAGCTGAAACATTTATCCGACTTCTGAGGTCTAGACATTCTCCTTCCGGCCCAATGTGAACATGGAATACAAGCGACGAATGAACTATCCACCAGATAATACCGCAAAACCGAGACAATTTGAATATCCCAACTTATGGTTCAGAACCTGGTGTTACCTCCATAACAGTTGAAGCCTGTTCGGAATGTCCACCACTTTTGACCTATTCCTCGGCGTGTTTGTCCGATTTGCGGTCATTGTTGCGGTATGCTAACCTAAATTTCCCCCATGAGAAGAAGCAGGCGTAGGATCGTACCTGTCTATGGGGGAAGATACCTTGTTCCATTACAATACAGTGAGTACAGTCCATCATGATGTTAGCTGACGGTGCCTCTAAGAATCAGTACAGTACAGTGAGTACAATCACACGTCGGTAGTTTGTTCAGCGTCAGCTGTCAGTGTTGATTTGCCATTCGATAAAACATCGAAACCCTTTGCCCAGTCGCTTGTGCCAACCTGGAAATATCACAGTGATCCGAGTACATATATATCCGTCAACAGGACTGTGTCCATGTTCACAGAAAGGGGCTTATACAATCTCAAGCATGTGGGGCATGCAAATATCAAGCGACTGTACAGCTCTCGATTTTTGTTTTGAACGGATGGCGTATGTGGGTTATCCTTTTCTATCGGGATGTGACTGTAGACAGAATGTCAAGATGTCACAATTTCCATTTCCATCACTGCTATCTGTCAAGATGAAATACCTGTATGTAGAGGCTGAATTCAGGAAAAATTGCAATGATGGGAAGGTCACACGTTCACGGCTCACAACCTGACTTTCAGTACACACCCGAATAACAAGCAAACTTATTAGATTTTACATGTCCGAGCACCAAAGACTCTTTAGTGAC